GAACACTATTCCGACGACGACAACTCCGGTCACCTCCATGTTCGCCGAAGACTTATCCGACTCTACACCCAACACTTAAGAATCCTCTAAGACTTCTCTTTACCCGACTAAGCCGCCGTTTTTCTCTTCCTCCATGGCGAAACCGAATACTGATCTCTGCAACTCCGGTACCTATCAAACTCTTCTTCATCTCTACTATGACGACTTCAGTTTGATTTCTTCTGAGATTACAAATTTTCTAAAGTTTTTCTGAATTTTGATTCTTCATTTCACAGCTTCTCGGATGAACAAACGTGTGTTCTTCTTCTTCTTTGATGAGCTTTGGTAACCTTTGAACCAGTGATCATCTCCTTCACACTTTATCACTTCCGATTTCATAAACCCGTGAAATCATGTCTTTGATTTCACTATCCTCCTCACAGAAACTCACCTGGATCCTCTAGGTAACTCCATGAACCCATTAATCAATTCTAATTGTCTTCTTATCGACAATGAAAAATCATCTTGAAACTGACTTGTTTCCCTCAATAGCTTCTGTCTCAAGTCTCGGTAAAGCATCTTCTTCTACGGTGATCTCATCGTCATCGTTATCTTCTTCTTTGCTAGTGAGATGCAATTTCTACCACAAATCCTTGTATCTCCGGTGATTCCTCTATCACCAATACCCTCTGTAATCTCAGGTATTCTCAAGCTCCTCTTAACATCTCTTTTGAGATTTCTGATTTTCTTCTCATAGCTTCAGAACTCCACAGGTAACTCCTTTTCTCCTTCTTGTTGTGTAACAACTTGTTTTTCTTCCTTACACATGAATCTACCTCACATAATGAACTCACCTAAATCTTTTCTTCTCTTTTCTGCGAGGTCATTAACTCACCCGAGTTACCTCGAGTTGCTTCTTCAGTTAGTGGATATTAAGAAGTTCACAGCCACGATGGAACTTCATACTAGGTACCACTTCCTTCTGAACAACTTCTCGAATCTCGCTTGTGTGAAACTTTGGTAGTGTCACGTCTTTTTTTTTGAAAAACTCTTCTCCTTTTTTTTTTTTTTTTTTTTTTTTTTTTTTTTTTTTTTTTTGTTCTATCTCAAATCTCATCTTAGTAACCATAGAACACTTCTCTAATGATCTCCGAAATCTAACGATTTCTTCTTGAAGCCTTCCAATCGGATTAGTGGTCCACAAACACACGTTCCCATCAATTTCCCGAAAGGATCTTTGAGATCCTCTGTCTCTCTTAGAAGCATCATTACACAATAATTTTAACTCCTCTTCTTGTACTCTTTCTGGAACTGATTTAATTACAACAGACATTGACCCAAATTTCCAACCAATCGAAAAATCTCCTTCCTTTCTTCATCTTTTATCAATTCACGGTCTCCTTCCTTTCCAGTTGTAGTCTCTGTAGCAGCTCATGTTGCAGATGTGATTTTTCCACCATAAACAAAATAGGACCCTGAGTTTGAAGGCTTTCCATTGAATCCAAGACCATGTCGATCTGTTTTCCCAATGTTCAGAAGATGATCCAATTTGTCTGTGCCACTATTAAGCATTCTTAAATTCTTTTGAGTTTCTTCAAGTTGAATTCTAACTTGTGATGCTTCTTCTTCTTTCTCTATTGCATACTTTTGTCCTTTAACAATTTGAATCTCTAACTTGACTTTCTCTTTAGTCAGCACTGAATTTTCCTCAATCAATTTAAGCCAATGCTCATACAATGCTTTGTAATTTCCAGCAAATTTTTCATCACCGATGCTTCCTGTCATGCTATCACTTTCTGTTGCAGGTTTTGCTGCAGTTATAGGTGCTGCTATAGGAGTTCTTGTCATATAGCGAGAATATCCACTACTAGTAGCCCCATGTTCTTTTGTCACAATTGTCATATTGCACCTAAATCCAAGCCCTCGTGTACTTCCTGACCTTCTTGATGTATCCTGATCCAGATCAGATTTTCTTGACATACTTTTTGATGCATACAGATCAGATTTCTTTACCCATATTTGACTACGATATCCATTCCACAAAAATTTTCCTTGACGTCTGAGTTTGTTTACTTTTTCCCAATACTTGTAGCAGTAAGCTCTTATGTGTCCTTTCTTTCCACAAAAATAACATCCAGTTTGTTTGATTGTATTACTCTCTGATTTGTCTTGTACTTGTTGAGCGACACCTCCTGACACAAACTTGATTTGTCCTGTGTTAGATCCTTCTTGTCCAATATAACCTAAGCCTCTGTTAGACTTCTCTGTTCTTCCATAACTCAAGATTGTATCAAGTGTTTTAGTCCCAGCAAACATGTGAATCTTCTTGTGTTGTTGATCAAGCTCTGATTGTAGTCGGGCTGATATTTCCTTCTCAGTACGTAAATCCTTCTCTAGATTGTCTACTTTAGCAGCAAGAGCCAGCTTGTCCTGCATCAATGTCAGACTCCTGTGATTTATTTTCTTCTCATCCTTCAATTCATTCTGCAGTGATTCAACAAGTGCATCAAGACAAATTTTTTCTTTTACCAAACCTTGATTCTCCTTTCCAATATTAATCAGTGCCTTACGAACTTCCTTGTAGCTTTCAACAAAGTCGTCTTCTTGTTCTTCTTCTGCATCAGATTCTGAAATTTCTTCTCCTTCTGAAGGATCTTTTCTTCCTTCCTCCTTTGTTTCTTTGATAACATTAATATCTCTCATACTTTTGATTGTAATCGAAGAAGCTTTTCCTTCTCTTCTTTTAGTCACAATGGCGACTTCCATGATAATTCTCTCTCAGGATCTCGAAACATGTGGCTCTGCTACCAAATCTAGTTTGTAAGGATGGTTTAAGAACTCATAATAAAGAATAACTCTCTTTATTAATCACCAAAGAAAATAACTCAAAACTTTGGTCTCTCTCAATCTCTTAAACACAATCTCTCAAACTCTCTCTCTCTCAAAACTCATAAGGCATACCACAACTTAGTAGCTCTTATATATCGAACCCTCAAAAACCTTTTCCAAAACCAATTAGGAAATATAACATATTCTAGATAACTCCTAGAACTTACATATGCATATTTGGATAACTCCCAAATATACTTAGCTTGGGCCTTAAGCTATTCAAGCTTATCCAACATAGCAAGCTTGTGATTCTACGAACTTAAAGACTTAACAAATCGATAGGTACTGTTGCAGTATTTAAAATCGACGGCATGCGACGCAGGTATACGTAAGAAGAAAAGTGATGCAAGGAGAAGAAGCGGAGGCTGGACGTGAGATATCGCCATTGATTAGCTCGTTGATCGATCTTGAAAGAGGAAAAATATATTTTTTGTTTGGCTCGACAAACAAGTGTGTAAAAGTAAAACATCTTATGCTTAATTACTACTATTTTATAGTATATAAATTATACTCCCTCCGTTTCGTTTTACTTGTCGTTTTCGAGTTAAAATTTTGTTTCATATTACTTGTCGTTTTATATTTACAATGCAAATTTATGACAGATTTTCCAGTTTTAACCCTACTTTTTAAGCTTATTAATTACATATATCAAACAAAATAATGTATTAATTAGGGGTAAAACAATAACTTTAATCGTTCTTTTAATTTGTATGAAATAATCTAGAACGACAAGTAATATGAAACAGAGGAAATAATATTTTGCTAAATTAGTGGATAAGTTCAAAATGATATCTTTATATTATATCCCACGTTGTCCGCGAGTCTTAAAGAGGTTGAGTGTAATGATGTAAGAAATAAAATACTATTAAGCTTCGGTCTCCGACAGTGCAATGATACGTCTATAAAATTTAGTTCTTTGGTTTCGGGCATGATTTACAACACGATGTTGACTTTTTTTGTTTTATTTCATTTGTAAAGATATTGAACATTTCTCATTTTCTATTTACACACACTAGCCGAGAACGAATTAATTATTCTATCGACAACCTACCCATGATAGGGAATCGTATATATACCCTGAAGCGGAACAAATATCTATCTTTTCAAAATTTAGTATTTGTGATTTGTCTTGTTTTCAACAAATATTAGTTTTTAGTATGCTTTGTTCCATGAAGTTATGAATAGAGTGGATACTACATCTACATATAGTTTGTTAAGTTTTACATATATAGGTGATGTGGTACAGAGTTTTGAAATGGTACAAATATAGATAGTTCAAAATATAGTGATAAGAATAGTGGTATGGTGCAACGATGGTTTAGCTCAAGACTTACACGACCATAGATAGCTTCATGCTCTGTTTTGTAATTCTTTGCTCTGTTTTGGTTAATTAAAGTCTAAGGAAACCAATAAAATATTGTACATATTTAGATTTTTATTCATATATAAATCTCACATTTCATCAAAACAATATGCAATTGAATTAGTTTATAAAATAAATAACATCTCTTTTTTTTAAACAATCACCAACACACTTAAATGTTAAATATTATATTAAAAGATAACTGTTTTTTCTTAAGACAAAAAATTCAAATTTTAGAAAAATATATATTAAAATATAATTAAATTTGTTCAACATAACATAACACATAAAAATTTAAATAATACGGACTATCCAATGAGTCATGAGCAACAAAAAATGAGACGCATTTCCATATCTATCAACTATGGCCTCTTGTCTTTTTGTGTTAATTTTGGAATAAATTGGTCAAAAAATTCAAAGAAATTGGTTACCAATGATGACTTTTTTTTAAAAAAAAATAGCTAGTTGACCTCAACTTATTTCATAGAAAAGCCATGTGGTGGTCTCGGTGTTTAAGAACATAATGTTTACCCTAAGATACTCTAAGAAACAAAAACTGATTATAAGTTTAAGCAAAATTAGGAGCTAGAGGAAATACTTCCTAAATCTTTGGATCAAATCTTTATAGGTCAATTTTACCAGAAACATTAATGTCTATGGGATCCACACCATTGAATCCCAAAATTCCCAACTAACATACCACCAATAATGTCGGCCTACTAACATCACTGAAATCTTTTTAATTCTCTCTATCTCTCTTTGTCATCACAAGCAAACTTTTGTTTTGGATTGAACAAAAAAGGAGATTAATCATATGGAGGAAGAACAAGTAAGAGCTATTAAGATAATAGTATTTGGAGTAATCTCATGGGGTGTTGCCTTCATTCTCACCCGGAGAGTCTTCTCTAGCTACTCATTCAGCTTCAGCAACCGTCTTCTTTCCACGGCTCACGCGACAATCGCTGTCACTTTAGCAACACTCTCTGTTCAAGATTTGTCTTGCCCTGTTTGTCCCCTCGCTTCTAAGCCATCTCCTAAACAGGTTCTTTTTACTCACATCATCACTTCACTTAACTTATATATAATCACTCTTTTTGCACATTGTAACCAAACTGTGATAAACATTCACAAAACAGATGGACGTGATGGCGTTTTCGTTATCGTATATGATCTACGATCTCATATGTTGTCATTTTGATAAAGTGTTTAGCATTGATAATGCGGTTCATCATTTTGTTAGCATTCTTGGTTTTATAGCTGGACTTGCTTACCAAAAGGTATTATTATTATTTTCTTTAAATTAATGGTTACTATAGCTACTAGATTTATGAGATTTGAGTTATTAAATTTTGGTATCACTTCTTGTTTTGAAGTCTGGATCTGAGATCGTGGCTACACTGTGGGTAGCAGAAATATCGAGTCCTTTTTTTCATCTTAGGGAGATTCTCAAAGAGATTGGATACAGAGACACCAGCCTCAATCTAGCCGCTGATGTGAGTATACATATGTGTAATCATCTTTTTTTGTGTGATCTAACAATTTCTAAATGGATATTAAAAATTTCCAAAATAATTTACTTCAGAAAAATATTAATCATTTTCTAAAGCTGGTTCATAGTTTTTTTTTCGAACTCAGAGACTAAAACATGTTAATGTAGTCTTTACTCCATCATCAACTCCTAGTTACATGCAAAAAAAACGACTGTATTCTTTTAGAAAATGGAATAATACTAGATGTAACTTCTACACAATCATAAAAATATTAAAATAATAGGTCCGATTGGTAACACATAGTTGTATTTTAACCGTAAGTTGGAGCAGCAAACTTTTACGGAATAGTGAAAAACTGTAAAAAATAGTGGTACATGAAATTTGTACAAAAAGATGAGAGTAAACTTTTGGTAACACTTTTTTGATAACGTTTTTACTATTGATTTTGTAATCAGTAATTGTCAAAGCGGTACATCATGTATCGTTAGCGGTACATCATGTACCACAGTGGTACATAATTACCAATCAAAACCAACATAGTTCAAATATTTTAAATGAGGGTCAAATTTCTGTAGTAACCGATGTAGATTATCTCAAAACCTAGATTAATCTCTGTTCCTTTAGAATCGAGTATTTTTGTCATTTAAAATGTCTGTAGTAGTTCGACAAATATATCTTGAGAGGATTAGTTGGATAATAAAAATCCGGACCACGACTGGATACGGAAACAAATGTCTATAGTAGTCTTATTATTGTTTTAATTCCATTGAATGGCAACTTTTAATTTCGTTGAAGATTTATTAGTTAAGGTTTTCCTGTAAAACCCAAATCAACTTCTCTGGTTTATTAGCATTATTGTCTTTTGTTTTTTAGCAATATTTTATTAAGTCAAAGTTAAATCTATTTTTTGTATGAAGTTTCTAAAAACTTAAGCACCACCATGCTTTGTATTAATTGATGATAGGTGTGTTTTGCCACTATATTCACATTGGCGAGGATTGTGTGTGGACCATTTCTCGTTTACGTCAGTCTATCAGCTGATAATCCCATCTTCATCAAGGTATTTATTCATCTTTCCCACCTACCAAGAATTCCTTATTATTATTTTCATCAACAAGATATCTTTATTTCTTTATCAAAACAAAAACAAGGTATCTAAATATTTTACAATATGAAATCTTTCGTTTTGGTTTTTACTTTAGTTACATATTTTTATTTCATCAATTACCCACTTGTTTTTATTAATATGTGAATTTTTTCTAACACAAATATATTGTTAAACCAAAATAGAACTTTTATCATCGAGAAAAAATATATACATATATATATATATATATATATATATATATATATATTATGTCGATTAATCTCTTTTTTTTTGTTAAAGATGTCGATTAATCTCAGTATATCATAATTTTTAATTTGAATATTTATTCTATAATGATATGTTATTTTATTTTCTTACAGGCAATGGGATCAGGATTACAACTCGTGAGCATATTTTGGTTCTATAAAATCTTGGGAATGATGAGATATAAACTTTTTAAGAAGCCAAAGTCAAACAAAAAGTCTACTTAGTTAGAGATATACAAAATTCGATTCAATCCAATTTTAATTTTGTTTAGTTTTTTATTTATAGTCATTATATATTTTATTATAATATATTAATAAAAAATAAAATAAAAAAGTTTTACGTTTGTCAAAAGAAATTTAAGACAAAGACCCTCGTCATGGTCTAGTCTGTCAAAAAATTAACGTTAAATTTTTATAGTAAAATAAATAAAGCTTCGTCATTATTCTAAACAGAAAATGAACTGTTATATGAAAGGAGTTAACTATTATGTTAATTTCAATTAATGGCGCTTACTCTGAGAATGTTGGTTGAGAATATTGGAGTTTGAAGGTTTATTGTGAAAGCAAGAGTCTTTCGAAGTTTATAATGCATTGTTACGTTGTTGTATCTTCATTATAAGCTAATAAATTTATTTTTTTGGGCTTAAACACTGACTATACTTTAATCCGGTTGAGTTTAATCAAATCACGATATACCATCTATTAAAGAAAAGAGAATGGTCTTAAGCATTTACGTTGTATTATACACCAGTCCATCTCGTACGTAGTATTGACAAATTCTTATGATCATGAATCTTTTCTCATACTTATCGCGAGACATTGAAAAAAGCTCTTTAATACTTCAAATAAAGAAATATGTTCGATTCATATATTAAATTCACTATTTTGCTAATTCGTATTTAACAAATAATTAATTCAAATTTACTATCCAAAAGATTAATGAATATATGCAAAATCATACATCGTCTTCTACCTAAATTTCCGAATTATGGTTTCAGCCGGTGATGTAACTAACTTAAATATAGATATATATAGAGAGGAAATACCCAGAGCCTTGTAGGACATAATATTGGGGCTGTGGAAATGTTGATCCTCAAAATCACACAAGTACGTATTCGGAGTCTTAAGGGAAAAAAGAAGAATCTCTTATTTAAAGAACGAGCCGACGATTACAAAAATAGACGAGCTAGAAATTTAGGTACGAGCCGAGACTGTTGATCCTCAAAATCACACAAGTACGTATTCGGAGTCTTAAGGGAAAAAAGAAGAATCTCTTATTTAAAGAACGAGCCGACGATTACAAAAATAGACGAGCTAGAAATTTAGGTACGAGCCGAGCCGCAAAGTGTTGTGACGGTTGCACGATATTCTCTGTCAAAGCGGTTATCTCGGGATCCCCTCTCCAATCACTCTTCTTCCCTTATTTATAATGTGCAGAGGTAGGGTACCCTACCCGTGCTGAATGTCTTCTTTGCCCTTTGGTCGGTGGAGAGAGGTTCACTGGGCTTTTCCTGGGCTTCTGTATCCCAGGTTTTTTGGGCCCGAGAAGATGACGGGCTGGCTAAGGTTTTTGGGCCCGAGCCCAAAATCTACCATCAACAGTAGCCCCCCGACCCTAGTGCGTAGTGATGACGCGGCTAGGGTTGCAATCATTTCGCCGTTCTCGACTTCGACTCCCTTCGTGCATTCCCGAGGCGCGTGTGGAAACGCTTCCTCCTGATTCGTCCGCTGCTGTTCTCGAGACCTCGAGAAGCGGATCGTTCGCGTGTTGCAGGCGTCGAAGGTATGATGATTACGCCGTTTTTCGAGACGCAATGATGACGCGCTTTCCTTCGACAGACCCTCTCTATAAATACTTCACTTCCTCCTCATTTCTCTCATTCTTCCTCCGCACCAATTCAAGGTATTCTCTCCGTTCTCTCTCCTCTTTTCTCGGTTCGTCGTTTCTTATCTCCGATTATGTCTTCGAGCATTGGTTCCTTTGATTCTGTTTCCGATCTCCGTCGGTCTCGTACTTCCGACGATTCGTACGTTCGATCCGTCGACAATTTTCTCAACAGGTCGGTCAGTAATTCCCGGGGTCGGAGGTCTCGAACTTCTTCCGCCTCGTCGGTTTCTTCTGTTGCTAGAGTTTCTCGAGACACCGCGGAATTGCAACGCCGTGAGCTTTTGTGCCGAACAGGAGCAGCCGGAACGAGCGCTGATCCTCAGCCCGTTATGACGATGCGCCTTCGTGATGAGGACAGCGACGCGGCATCCATAGACGAGGATGACGTGCCGCTCATCAGACGCAAATCTGCTTCTGCTAGAGCAACTCGTGCCGCTGCTCCGTCGTCTGATATTCTTGATCGTTTGGACAACGTTCCGCTGATAGGACGGGTGCCTGCTCCGGTTGGGTTTATTCAGCCTGGTGGCCCGGTGCCGGGAATACCGGATTACCTTCGACCGACGACGTCAACGATCGAAACGATTGGGCTCTCCCTTCGTTTTTGCAATGCCCCGGCTACGCTAGATACGCTCGTCCCAAACCCCTGGGATCGGCCCTGGACTGCCCCGCCTGGTTACCTTTGCATATATGAGAAACATATTACCGACTGCGGGCTGACTTTCCCGATTCCGGCGTTTCTGCTTCAATACGCTTCGCGGCGGCAAATGGCGTTTGCGCAGCTTTCTCCGGCTGCTATTCGGAATGCCTACGGCCTAATCCGCATGGCTGCGCGGTGCGGCGTTGAACCTCGTTGTTCTTTATACGAGGAATTGACGACGAAGAAGAACTTTGGTAAATCCAAGCCGGGCTTGGTGTATACTTAGTCTTCGCGAACCCCGAAGTTGGTCGTCGGCGCGAAGAGCAAAACCAACGATTGGCTTCGTTGGTATTTCTTTGTCAGAGTTAACAACGAGTCCGCCGGGGACGTGACGGTTACGAATTACCACGGGTGGACTGTTTCACCCGGTAGCTTGCTTATCTCTCCGAGGTCGATCGCCTACTGCCTGGTTACTTGTCTGACTTGTTTTTCTTGTTTCTTTCTTTTGTAGTTAATTGTCCCAAGATTTTCGATCCCTACCCCGAAAGACTGCATAACGACGTTCAGAAGATTTTAGCTTTGTGCCCGTACACTTGGCCGGGTGAAGAAGATCCTGTCCGTCGCCCTTCGTTTAAATCAAAAGGAACGAGCCGCAAGAAGGTTCCCTCGAAATCGAAGAAAACTTCGAAGAATCCAGGTGGGCCTCGGTCCCGTTTTCTAGCCCCTTTTTTGTCTTTTTTCGGGAATCGGCGCGTACTAATACATTGTTGTCTTTTTTAGCACCTCTCGCTATCATGGGTAAGTTGAATGTTGACGCGGTGGGAAATTACTCGTCGCGGTACAAGAAGAAATCGTCGGTGACGCCGACGAAGAAGATGACTCGGGAGGAAGAAGAGGCCACGGCTTTGGCTAAGCGTTTGTCTCTTGAAGAATACGAGGCGAGGGAGGCAAAGGGACGAGCCGAAACTCGTCAAAGGAAGGAGTCCGGGGATGATTGTCGCGACCGGCGTGGTCATGATTCTAAGGAAAGGAGGGACAGGGAGGTGGCCGAGGCGAGGTTAGCTAAGTTGCCTGTCACCGAGGCCTCCCGGGACGTACCTTCAGGCGGCAGGGAGGTCGTCTTGTATGACGACTATCGGTCCGAGCCTACCCGGAAACGGGCAGTGGATGAGTCCGAGACGATGCGCTCTGATTCGGCCAAGAAGCAGAGGACGGCCTGGACCCAGGATTACCGATGGCGGTATGATTATGACGGACGCGACGTCCATATTTCGACCGATCCTACGTCTTGTGCGGAGCTGTTCCGTAAGATCCATGTCGGTCCGTCTCCTTTTTTGAGCTTCATGATATGTATGAGAGGACGGCGTTTACCGACGCCGCGAAGAAAACTGTCGCGGTAACGTTTTTGGGAAATTTTTGCTTTACTCTGTCATTAAGTGTTTCGTCCTTTGATCGAGCTTTCCCCTTCTTTTTTGTAGGCCGTTACCGCGATCGATCGGATGGCGTACATGTACGAACGGCGCCTCCGTGTTGTGGCCGAGCAGAACACGGCCTCGAAGGAGCATCAGAGGGCCTTAGCGGCTGAGCAAAAAGGGCCGATCAGGCGTCGAAGGGCCTGGAGAGTGCTAACTCCGAGGTGGGACTTCTGCGCGAGGAGGTCGCCAAGCTGAAGGAAGAACGGGATAACGCTCTCGCAGAACGGGAGCGCTGTCTTGAAGAGCTTTCAAAGTCTCGAGTCGACTTTAAAAACTACGCCGAGCGGTCACAGGCCGAGGAGGCGAGGCTTCGGGAGCGGCGTGCCGAATATGGTCGTATCCAGGTAACTAAGGCTCTTAAGGAGGCTGCCGAAGAGTTCCAGAAGCGCCTTGACGGGATCCAGAGGCACTTCACCACTAGGGACGCGGCGAATCCCAAATTTCTCGATTACAATCAAGCTGTCGGGAGCGTAAATCTGCTGAATACGCTGGCCGAGTCTGGGGAGATCGTCCTAAACTCCAAGGACGTAATCGAGAGACTTGAGGCCGATGTTGAGGACCTTAAGAACGAGGTGAATGCGTTCGAGATCGCCGACCTCGAAGAGGGTTGGGCGGATGTTCGAACTTTCTTCAAGGGTCCTCTTGTCGTCGAAGAATTTGCTCCCTCCGTCGTCGATGCTGATGAAGGGACTGCTGTTGACGTCGACGCCGTGGATCAGGTCGTTGTTGATCCGGCTACTGGTGGCGGAGGTGTCCGGGTCGAAGATCCTCCTGAAGATGAGGCCGCATCTTGAGACCTTATGTTGTTGTTTTTTTTTTTTTGTTTGCCGCGTAGTCGGCCTTTTGTAAGACTTTTTGCCACTTCTGTTGGCTTTTTATCGAATATTTTAACGTTTCATTCTTGTGCGTAAACTGTCGGACCCAAGATATATGACGACGCGTCCGTTGGGGTCGTATCGCGCAAGTTACTGAGGACGACCTTAATAACTTGGTCGATTATCGTGTTTGGGTCGGGCTCAGGTCGTTCGGTGATATGACCTTGGAGGTCGTATTTCGTATGTTATCGAGGACGACCTCGATAACTTGATCGATAGTCGTATGTTTGGGACGGTTCCAAGACACTTATAGGTGCGACCTCCGGGATCGGCTTATCCTGTTCGAATGATTAAAACGGGCACAAAAGTGCGAGTTCGACCTCGGCTTATGCAATCGGCCATTTTAATTTTGCGAGTACGGAGCTCGGCTTTTCGTTCGATCAGACACCGGGCCAGGGTGCTGATGTATTTTCGTTTCGCCATACTTGGGAAAAGATAAATTTTATTAATATTTGCAGCTGTGCCTCGTAAACGAGGCTGCCTACGTACCCTCTGATCGGAGGGATCAAGCCGCTCGTAGTTCACAGTACATAGTGAGGCATCGGTGAGGCCGAGCTACCTTTTTTTTTTTTTTTTTTTTTTTTTTTTTTTTTTTTTTTTTTTTTTTTTTTTTTTTTTTAGTAGTAGTACCGCTTCAGGTGCATCGAATTCCATGTGCGAGGGACTTCGAGGCCGGACATCGTGAGGAGCTCGTAGTCTCCGGGTCGGACGATCTTCGATATTTGATAGGGACCCTCCCAACTTGCGCCGAGCTTCCCGGCATTGAG